CAAGTGCAACACAGCCTGTGCCACCTCCTCTCAGGAGGCAAGCAGGCAGATGCTCTGGTCTCCGGGGCCCTTGATTTTAGGCAGGCTACTCTATGAAGCACACACATACTCCCCATCCCTCTCTCGAGCAGCTTCTGACTTTCTTTAGAGCAGGATGGACATAAAACAGTCACGATACTCACCAGGCCAGTACAATAATCGTCTCTCCGTATCCTGAAACCTTAGGTTTCCTTGTCCTTCAGATCATGAGTACAAACAGTCTCCTCTGCCAGACACCCAGTCTCTGAACTTAGGGCTGTGCACTCAGCAACTACAGTCTGAGCGTGAGGCCAGAAGCCACATGTCCGGTGAGAGGCCGCCACCCCACCCCTCAGCGCCCAAGGCCCGCCTCTCCACAGTCCCCCTCTGGGGCAAGGATCGGGCAGGTGGCAGGCGTCACACAGACCTCTACTCCAAGGTCAGGCCGCCACTGTCCTGCCGGGTGCAAGCTAAAAGTCCAGAGTACTCCCCGCGTGCCAGGCACTAACGACTTTACAAAGAAGGAATCGCCGTCCCCATTCTGAGGCGGGAGCGCGGGCGGAGACGGACGCGGAGACCGCACAGCCAGTAGGGGGAACAGGGCTCGCGTGCTGAACCCACCGTTCTCGGCTGCCTCCTTCACGACACTCGAGACGCGATCGCAAGGTCAGGTCCCAGGCCTGCTTTCTAAAGCATTCTAAGCTCCCGCGGCCTTTAAGCGAGCCAACGGGTGCCGTGCCCCGACAGCACAAGTACACACACATCATCACCACTAGGAGGCCACCCAGTCACTACAGGGCCACCCAACCTCACTTCTCCACCTGCCCTTCCATCGACAGCAGCAGCACAGAACTGCAGCCTGAACTGCCCCAGGAGGTACTCCACCACACGGAAAGCCGACCTCGACCAACTCACGGGAAACGAGCTAACGGATACACATTTTAGTCAATCTGTACTTCCGCCGTGTGTCTTTTTACTTCTGGCTTGTTTCTATACTAAGGTTGTTTCTGAGCAGCACAAACTCGCGCGTGTCAGCACTCCAGATATGTCTGGGGACGGACTGGGACGTCCTGCAGCCGTCACCCTCGGGCCCACGCCACTAGCACCTGCTGGCTGCCCGCTATGCAGAGAGGTGCTCGTGTTTACAGATCTTTCAAGGTCAGAACTGGCCACCACCCCCTAGGCCACCAGCCACCAGAAAGCTCTTCGGCGAGTGTGTCTCAGCAGGGCAGCTGGGATGAGCGCCCTCACTGTTCTCGTTCGATTTTGGCTTCCAGTCAACGCAGTCACACCCAGAGTCTAAAGACCCAGCAAAAGCGGCGAGTCTGGGCCTTCGGCACTGACCTCACAGAAGAGCTTCCAGCCCGAGGACATCAGCACTGGAGCCGGAGCTGAGGTGAAGCGAGCCGACGTTGCTTGTTCTTGGCAGGTGCCGCCGCATCTTCTATTTTTCCAGCACCGGCGGGCGCCAATAAGCAGGAGAGGAGTATCATGTTTGCCAAAGTTATCGCGATTAAAAACCACGAGACATACAAGAACAGTGCTGTCCCTGGGCAGCCCCATGGACCAGACCAGTTTCTGCCTGTAGCCTAGAGGCCGCCAAAGGTCACAGCAGAAGGAAGAAGAGGATCAAACACACTTGGGCCTCTGCTCCCTGTCTTTGGTAAACAGACTCTTGAAGCTGCCAACTGGGACGGCCAGTAATTGTATTTAAAGCCACATGACTGCCAACTTCACCGTTTCAGGATGAAAAATGCAACAGTGGATGAACTCGGGTGGGGTGGGGTGGGGGGGGTGGGGAGAGACCTTTCGGGTGAAATGACACTTGCTGAAGTCACACCAATTTTCTACTTTACACAGAAGCACTCACATAGGGAGACCTAAGTCAAATGAGGGCTCTGAACTCTGCCACAAGTCGAGGTGTAAGAAGTAAGGCAGGAAGCAGGGTGAGGGAAGACAACTATGGAGACGTCTGCGCTGTTAATGTGTCGGGAGAGAGGCAGGCAACGAGCGTGGCTGTTTCTTCAGCAACCTGCTGTCAGAAGTACATCAGACGGAGCCCTCGGGCCCCAGGAGAACACGGCCCCAGCTATTGCTGAAGGTGGTAACCCTGGAGCCAGATCTGGAAAGCCTGCCTGGGGCCACCCAGGGCACTCACCCTGGACTCCAGAGCACTTAACGCCCGTGGCGGTGATTTGTCACGTACGGCAGCGAGCGGCCAGTGGGAGGTCGGAAGAGAAGAAACGCGAGGGGCGAGACACGTCTGCTCAGCTGAGCGCGGGTGGGCGGGCTGGCTGTGGCTCTGCACGCTACAGCAGGTCCACTAGGCGACCGAGCCACGCTGGCAGATCACAAGTCAGTCACTCCACCCTCATGTCGGGCAGCACAGCGCGCAGTGGCTCTGACACAGGTGGAGAGAAGTACACCACTTTAATGCAATGATGCCGAAGACGGAAAATAAGGGAGAGACACTTGTGTTCTCTGTACAATACATCCATTTACAGAATCGGCCAGTACTGTGTACAACATATAAATACATGATAAAACATTAGAGGTGCATAGAGCATACTTACAGAAGCCAAAAAATTCACTTTATACATCCAAGGATAAAGAGTTAAAAATATAAAAATAAGAAACACACACTGCTTTGAAATGTAAAATGACTTTCACATACACAGGTGCGTGGAGATGCCCACTCCCACGGAGTCCAAAGTGACAGGGAGGGTGTCAAGCAGAGGAATTCACCTGCCAAATATCTGGACATCTGACTTACAAGGTCTACAGATGGCATTTTAAGAGGAAAGACAACCCTATGCCCGACCCCGTTGTCCAAGCGAGTCTATTCGAGGTTCCAAAAGCTCCTGTGGGCCAGTGAATTGTACCGAGACAGGAAAGTCCCAAATTTGCTTCAGCAATAGAACCAAAGGTCAAACCGGCTCCTGTCAACTGGCCAATGCCAGAACTGTGACCCTGAGGTCAGCAGGTGCTTGGGCCCCCTGGTGGGCACTGCTGGGAGTTATTTTAACCCTGTGCTGGCTTCCCCAGCCATCAACTAACTCCCCCAGGACCGGAGTAGCAAGCAGAAGGAAACACGGCAGGGAGGGGGCAGTGGAAGACTGACATTTCTACTCAGTTCGGGTAGGTTAGTTCCCTCGATGGAGAACACAACCTTCTTTCTTCAGTTTCGAGTCCCTCTGGGTGTCAAGCAAGCTCCCCATGCCACACCAGGCTCTGTCTGCACGAGAGCTTGAGTTGGCCAGCCGGCCTC